ATTTTTCTTTCCTTCCTCGTCCTCTCTTCTTTCTTCTCTTCGTTCTTCTCTTCTATCTTCTCTTCTTTTGTCCCTTTCTTCTCTTTCATCTCTTCTTTCATTCCTTTGATAGAATTTGGATGACTTTCTATCATAGGATGACTGGAACTTTTCCCTTCTGAACTCTTTTCACTCATAGGGTTTTCTGATGATTTGTTTTGTAATTAAGGCCAATGATTTGGTGAAAACTTTAATCTCATCATCTGATTCAGACGTTTCCTCTTCAGATTCTGAAAAAAATCATTGAAGAGTTGGAGGTTTTGTGAGAGAACCAACATTGTAAGCAGAATTCCAGTTGGCCATTGAAAATTTGGAGAAGAAGAGAGAATTTTTAATGAGAAAAAAGATTAAAATATTGAGAGATTTTAAATGATCGTTTGATTGGATAATCAATCAATAGGCTCTGATACCAATTGTTGATCCCAGATCTCTCAATTACACTAATAATCTAGTTATGAATAACCAACTTCTAGTGTTTTAACGAAGAAAGTTATGAAGACTCAAAAATAAAATAAGAACATTCAAGAACAGTTTTGAGCTTCAAAGGTTTTACTTTATAAATAATGAAACGTAAAATAAAAAGTAWAAGCCTCTATCACATACGCTCTTTTTACAATAGACCTAATTATCTATTTATACTAGTTTGGCTGATACTAAGATAACTATATATTGCTACTTTCTAGCAAATAGTCTAGGTAACAGATAAAGTTTATCTTTTACATGGATAAGCATTATTAACAAGATAAACTATAATTCCAGCTGTTGATTTGTCATCTCCAGCCGTCGTTATCAATTTGATGATTTCATCCTTATCTTCAAATCTTCATTGCACGCTTGGATGAATACTTAGAAAATCTTCTAAGTGTTTGTCTGTCCCGAGCATCGATGAGAATGCTTCGTCCATTGGTCCTCTGGTTGAACTTCGTCCATCGGTCCAATGTTCATAGATCCTCTGGTTGGTCTTTCCATCGATCCAATGGTCAACTTCGTCCATCGGTCCAATGGTTGTTCTTTTCATCGATCCTCTGGTTAGTCTGTCCATCGATCCAATGGTCGAATCCAGACTTAGTTGTTTCTGCCTTGATGTCTTCATTGGTCTTCTGGTTCTTCATCACTTGTTTGTTTTTCATTACTTTTTACATTTTGCATTGTGGGGTTTAACAAATTGTATCTACTTTTAATTTCATGTAGTAACTGTGTACATTTATATTATCTTTAACAGATTTATCTCTTAATGAAGAGCAAGTGAAGAATCTAACTTTGTTCGAAATTGAAAAGATTCTGCTTCGTAACAATTCCACATTGAAAAACTTCACCACACTGCCTTTTCCTGATGATAATGACTCGCTTGAATCCTCAAACAATCGTTTAATTGCAGAAGAACTGGATTATAATCATCATAATTTAGGAKATGAGTTTCACACCCTTGTAACTACTCTTACAGATGAGCAAAGAGGTGTGTATGATGAAATCATGACTGCGATCGCAAAGAAAAAAAGCGGTGTATTTTCTGTTTATGGATGTGGAGGAACAGGCAAAACATACCTATGGAAGACCTTGGCTGCATCAATAAGATCTAAATGAGAGATTGTTTTAAATGTTGCTTCCAGTGGTATTGCATCTTTGTTTCTTACCGGTGGCAGAACAACACGCTCTCGTTTTCACATCCCGCTCATTCTGAATGAAGATTCTCTTTGCCAAATGAAGCCAGATAGTGATGTTGCAGGCTTAATAAAGAAAACTACTTTGATAATATGGGATGAGGCACCAATGGTTCACAAACACGCATTTGAAGCATTAGATAGAAGTATGAATGATATTTTCAATGCTCAACGTAGTGGTGAATCGTATATGATTTTTGGGGGTAAGGTAATTGTTTTTGGAGGCGATTTCAGACAGATTATGCCAGTTATTCCCAATGCAGGTAGATAAGACATTGTAAATGCATCATTAAGTTCATCTTACATTTGGGAAAAATGCAAAGTCCTAAAGTTGACTAGAAACATGAGGCTAACTGCAAACAGTGAATGTTCAGAAATTGAACAAACAAGGGATTTGGAAAAATGGATTTTGGACTTAGGAGAAGGAAAAGTTGGAGGTGATAATGATGGTGAAACAGTTATTGAGATACCTCGTGATATTCTCATTACCGATTGCATTGATCCTATATCTACATTAATCGAGTTTCTCTATCCCTCAATTCTTGAAAACATCAACAACTCAGCTTATTTTCAAGAACAAGCAATACTTGCCCCAAAAAGTGAAGTAGTTCAAGAACTAAATGAATGATTGCTGTCATTGTTTCCAGAAGAAGAAAAGGAGTACTTAAGTTCAGATACATTATGTGAATCGGAGAAGCTTCATGATGAGTTCGATAAAAATTTGTACTCTCCTGATGTTTTAAATGGTCTTAAATTATCAGGAATACCAAATCATAAGATTCTACTAAAAGTTGGAGTCCCTATCATGTTATTGAGGAATATTGATCAGAAATCTGGACTATGTAATGGTACTAGACTGCGTATGTTGACATTGGGAAATCGAGTAATAGAAGCACAGGTCATATCTGGAAGCAATATTGGAAGCCGTACATTCATTCCAAGAATGTCCTTAACATCTACAGACAAAAGGATACCATTCTAATTTCAAAGGAGACAGTTTCCAATTGTTGTATGTTTTGCCATGACCATTAATAAGAGCCAAGGACAATCATTATCAAAAGTTGGTTTATTTCTAAGACAACCGGTCTTCACGAATGGTCAGTTATATGTTGCTTTATCCCGAGTCAAAAGCAAGAAAGGTGTGAAAGTACTAATTACGAATGACGAGGGCATTATTGACAGTAAAACAACCAATGTTGTATACAAAGAAGTGTTTAGTAATATATGATACATTGTTCTTATTTTATTAATGATTTACATATTTAAGTTATATTTGTTTAATTTATATTGTATTATAAATGTTGTTTTACAAGTTCATCTTATCAGTTCATATTATTATTAATTCCTAAGAGGCTTATTTTTCATTTATAGTCTGTGTTACAATTATGCGATCATAAAGAATTTGCATGTGCTACGTAAATTCTCTCACTCGGACTCTGTCCTTCATACAGAGCTGTACAAAGGGACTGCATATACTACGCACACTCTCTGGCCAAAGTTCAGCAATTCATACAGAGTTCTGGAGAGGTAGTGCAGAAACCACGCAGGACCTCTATGCATTATTCCGTGGTTCATGCAGAGCTACACAGCAGCTCTGCATCTACTATGCAGAAGTTATGTGCACGGAAAATTTTTACAAACTTGTGGCATTGGCTAATTTTACCAACTAACTCTTGAAAAGAACTTCACACTTATAACCAGATTGGTCGTCTTGATTTAGAAATCTTGCAACACAAGATATTCTTCGTCGTAGACTCTGGAGTATTTCTTAGACCTTGTGTTTGTCAAGCCTCATTCCATCATTCATACAGAGCTTAACAGAGGCTCTGCATTTGCTTTGCGGTTAATGTGATCCAGACAACATGTTCCATGCAGAGCTGGACAGAGGTTCTGTACGTAAGTCTTGAAAAAAACCTTTGTCTCTTCATGTAATGCGTCGATGATCTATCTCTTGCTCTGACGACGACCTTCAGACTTGTACTTGTAAATAGTTTCTGTTTTCATCTTTGCAAACTTTTTTTCGCTTCTGTCCTTCAACCATGCCTCCGTCTTTCATGCAGATTATCATAGACGTTATGTACTTCTCTTGAGTAACAGTTCTCTCTCACCATGTACTACCCAGAACCTAAGATTCCCTATGCTTGTCTTATACATAGGTATACAAAGAATATGCTTGTACTACACAGCAGTGCATACTGAATCTACATTGTTCGTCTCCATTTAAAAGTTTTTCTGATCATCGAAACAGAAGCCGTTCTTTTTATATGTAACATTTAATTTTCAAGTAAGAGCATTTTTATATCAACAAATTAATCGCAATTGTACCTTTCTTTAAATTTATAAATTACCTCCAATTATTAATTGTTTATAAAAAAACATATTAGTTCAGCTTAATTTTTATCAGTAACCCGTGTAATACACGGGTCCGAACCTAGTATATATATATATATATATATAGGAATGTGTGTGTGTATGTGCATTTAGTTGAATTAAAGTTTTGATGGGGAAGAGAGGAGTTGGCAGTATGCGCCGCCCCTATGGTTTCTTCTCTTACTATAAATAGTAAAAAGGAAGGATAGAGAGAAATTTTCACACACATACACTTTCTAAAAGATGTTTGGAAGCAGATTTTGGAGAATTAGATCAGGGAGAAATCCGGTCAACCTCAAAATTCTAAGGTGAGTGTATTACGCTTTGGATATTACATGTTTGCATACAATCCAATAGCGATTGGAACTTGTTTACTATGATTTAAGTTTCATATTGTGCGATTATAACCTAAACCGGACAAGTGCTATCCGGATTTCACCTAAACCGGACAAGAAGCGTCCGGGTTCAACTTATATCGCTTAAGACTCGGCCGATGTAATTTCTAAATTGGCCAAGCATCATCGGGTTTACTCTCTAAACCGGTTAAAGGTTATCCGATGTAAATCTAAACCACTCAAAGCCATATCATGTGTTGTCCGGATTAGATCTCTGGACGGTTGACCGGATTACAAATCCGGCTAGAACTAGTTTTGATATTTCTTCTGATTTAAACTTGCCATGAGAGGGATGAAATGGCGGTGTAATCGCGAGAGAGATAAAATGGCGGTGTAACCGCGAGAGAGATGAAATGGCGGTATAACCGTGACAGAAATAGACAAGTATTTGTATCTATACAGGTTTAATTCTAAACTGTTAGTGGAAAATAAGTTGTTGTATGAGATTTATACACTCACTAGACCTTTTAGGTCTAACGCTCAGTTGTTGGACTAACCTGTTTTGCAGGTCATCATACCTCACAGGATAAAGACAAGGGGAAAGTTTAGAATAGATGAAATGTAGTTGCTCATAAATGTATTGAGAAAAGTTTATGTTAATCCATGTTTTGTAAACGTTATTACATTCTGTGTTATGAGTATGATTATGTGGATTATCTGTATGTGGGAAAATGTGGGTTATTACATTATTCTTGTAGTAATCAGCATCCTTCACCAATCGTCCTTTGCACTCTTTGGAAAAATGACCAATTTTTCCACACCTATAGCAGCGAAGGTCATTCTTCGTTCCGTCTTGGTCTTCTTTCTTCTCCTCTCTTCTATCTTCTCTATCTTTTCTTCTGTCTTCCCTTTGGTAGAATTTTGATGGCTTCTTTTCATWGGATGGCTGGTACTTTTCCCTTTTGAAGTCTCTTCGTTCATCGGGGCTTTTGATGAACTTCTTCTGGAACTATTTTGTGATCAAGGCCAGCGACATAGCAAAGGCTTTGATATCATCAACTAACTTGGATGTCTCGTACTCAGATTCTGATTCTACTACCAGTGCTTTCTTTTCTTTCTTCTTGTGGTCTCTAGTGGAGGTCCTTGAAACATCCTTTTCTTCAGCAGCAAGAGCAAGGGATCCACTGATGGATACTTTCTTCTTCATGATATCTTGCTCTTGTGCAGTAAGCGTTCCATACAGGTCATGAAGTGACCAGCCGTCTAAGTCCTGATTTGCTTGGAGAGACATCGACAACAGTGTCCACTCATCGCCGAGACTTTTAAGGAATAAAACATTATTTTGTTCCTTCGTCCTGGAGATATCGTTTCGACGACATTGATTAATCAATGTATTAAAACGATCGTACGACTTCTGAATTGGTTCATCAGGAAGAGCCTTGAAATTGGTATATTCGTTGAGACATTGAGCTCTATGATTTTTCTTCGTTTTTGCTCCTCCTTCTAATTGGCTTGCCAACTCATCCCGTAATTCCTTTGCTGTGGAGCATGCATCGAGAGATTGGAAGATTTCATTGGAAATGGCCATGATGATTATTCTTTTGGCCTTCTTATCAGTCTCCACGCGCTCTATATCGTCTTCATCCCAATTCTTCTCATCCTTAGGCATGTAGTAGGCAGGAATTTCTGCTGTGGTGCTTGTTCCTGGGACTCTTGGAACAAGAGTCCGTGGAATGTAGGGACCCTCCATGACAGATCCCAGAAGATTTATGTCCATCCCTTCGAAAAAGTTTACCATCCGTATCCTCCATTGTGGGTACTCTTCTCTTTGAAGAGTTGGATGCTTGCTGAGGGAACCAACACTGTAAGCGGAATTCCAGTTGGCCATTTGAGATTTGGAAGAGAACTTACGTTTTTAGAGAAGATCTTTTATGAATTTTTACGAAAAAAGTCAGATTGAGAGATTTTAATGATCGTTTTGATTGGAAAAACAATCAATAGGCTCTAATACCAATTGTTGATYCCAGATCTCTCAATAACACTAATAATTAAATTAAGAATAACCTAATTATATATTTTGGATGAATAAAATGATGAACACTCAAGAACAATTGATGAACATTCAAAGAATATACTTGAGTGTCAAAGGTTTCACTTTATTTCAATGATTGTGAAAAACATAAAAGAGTCAAAGATTACAATAGGCCTAACCACCTATTTATACTAGTAATCTAGATAAGAAGATAACTATCTAGTGAGACTATCTAGCAAATCTTCTAGGGAAAGATAAAACTTATCTAAATATGGATAATTAACAAAACAAGATAAACTTTGTAGAATCCAGCTGTTGATTTGTTATCTCCAGTTGTCTTCCATGGGGTGTTAGTTCAACCTTATCTTCATATCTTCATCGCATGCCTCTGGTTGAACTAGTGTGGAAAACTCCAAGTGTTGGTACCCAGAGGGGCTATGAAGATGCTCTTTCCATCGCATCTCTGGTCATTTCATCGACCCTCTGGTTGTTCTTCAAACTCAGTTGTTTTGCCTTGAAGTCTTCCATCGGCCTTCTAGTTCTTCATCACTTGTTTGTCTTCATTACTTCCACACATAAGATTTATGGGGTCTAACAAAAACCCACTTTGTACCGATAATCGTCTTATTTTGGAGATGCTGTAACACCCCATACCACACATAGCATGTAACACATACTTCATACACAAGAAATACATGTTTATACACCACATTGGTCCCTCAGTACAAGAATCTATCAGAACAAAATACATGGTCCAAAATTCAAAGTACAATTCTTGAACTAATCAACTTTTGTCTATCAAAACTATACATGTCACAGACAATTCTTCATGCATATATGCATATAGGGAAATAACACATTTTTCCCTTTCCCTTACCGTCAGCACCCCTGCAATACATATTTAAAATCACAAAACGAGGGTTAGACCAAAAGGTCCAGTGAGTTCCCTTTTTATGTTATTGTAGGGCGAAAATCACCAAAAGTTTATTTAAAACAACTTTTCATATATAGAACAAATACATGAATTAAGTAAAACATATTATCAGTACCTTTCCACTTTCCAGGCCAAACTTTCTACTTTCAGATAATACCTCCAAAAAAATCCAAATAGATTTGCAGTAACCAGGTTAATCATAATGCCACTTTTAAACCTTTTTAGTTAAACAAGGTTTAATCAAAGTTTCAGGCCAAACCTTTTATTTCTTCCTCAATAACATCCAGACTACGATTTCCAATAAGAACTCT